ATTTGATCCTCCGAATACCAGTTCACAATATTCTCTGCCAACTAGTGTTGCATGTAGAACATTCTCGTACCATGTCGCAAAAAGTGCCATACCCAAACCGAACAAAACAAAAATTTTCATCATAATGACTTCATCCAGCACCAAGCACACCATCCACCTCAGTTCTTCCAAATGTGACCAACTACTCCAAAATTTTGTCAACAAAGAACCCACTTGAAAACTGTACCTTGAGATTCAAGAAAAGTGGCTACCATGTTAATAGCAAACTCAAAAGCTTGAGCCAAGTAAGCAGAAAACAAGAAGTCATCTTTCCCAACAAGCAGTATCTCTTGGGAATTGTTGTCGTGCTCAATCCACCTCTTCATTTTTGCTCAGAAGAAGATTTCTAGTCAAACAAGGTTAATGTTGCTAGAAAGAATAAGGACTCGCAAGTGATCAACCTAAGAGCCCCATGAGAGTACACACCTTTCGAGAGAAATGCAACTTCTAAATGTGCTAAAACCACAATATGAGTGAACACAACGCGCCTCCAAGGTCTAGGTAGTTCGTTCAGATGTCAAACTCGGAACTCAAGATGGAATTTAATCAGTAGATGTATATAAGAGGTGTGTTAAGGTTAGATAGTAGATACCCTTAAAATATTGGTAAATGAATTTATATACATATCATTGGAAAAGAACTACTAGAGTACGACATGATGTGATGAATTGCAGCAGGATAATGAATGGTAACCATTCAATTCAGCGTGAAGATAGTGATGTAATCTGCTGATCACCTACACTACAATCTTCATCAATCCCTTACCAAAAGACGGCTTAAACCTCATACCCACATGGAACTCTTTCTAGTAAGTCTGGTAAGCTTGTGAAAAGGTTATACTCCTAACAATCCCGTCTAAATCGATAAGAATTGGGCACACACTTCTGCCGAATCCATGGATCATGAATTTCTCACTGATTGAGCAAGAAACCATGTCGAGAAGGCTAAAAGAACACTCAAGAATTTGAGGGTCAAAACAAGTCCATTAAAATCTAGAGTACAAGATATTTGGTTTGAGGGAGAAACTATGCTGAGAACAAACGTTTTTTTTTTTATTTTTCCCTGTGTAAAATGTTCCGGCATGATCCAGTTCACATTGAGAAACAAACCAACGAAGGAAGGTGAAGTTGCAGAAATAGAAGTCACTATGTATGATTATTTGGTTAATCATCATAGTAAGGTTGACTGGTTTCTTAGCCAAAAAGAAAATAGGTCTAAGCTCAAGAATAGTTAAGAACTGCTAATAAGACGCAAAAGACATTTCGAAATTCTCAATACTTTGTGAGAGCCGTTTCAAAGATCAAAAATTAAACATAGAACCTCTGAATCAACAAAATGACGAAGAAGAAAGATATGAAGCAGCATGTGTATGCATGCAGTGACACGATTGGCTACCTTAAAGTGATGCCCTTGAGCAAACCAAAGCTCAATGAGTCCAAAGAAGTTTAGAGTAAAGCTCAAACTTCGTATAATGATGAATATGGTGGAGTTTCAAGCCATTACACTGAAAATTACAAGGCTAAATAGTTAGTACAAGAGCACTGATCAATTAGGCTACAAGCAAGAGGCTAAGTTCACCTCTACCAAAAAGTACATAGACAAGGAGCTAGGGTTTACCGCCGAGTACTAGACCCAGGTGAAGTTCAAGAAGTCTGTTTATCCAAATAAGACTGGATCTTCATCATCCAATTCCAACTACAACAACAAGAATCGTAACTCTTTTTGAAAATTGGTGATAATAGAGTCTGCTATCGAAGAGTCACCTAAGAAATTATCTAATTTAAATGAAGCCAATGCCCAAAGAACTTGGTGTGAAGCTGATGGTCAATGGTTAGGGAACTTGACTTTGTCGTTGGAGTAAGCAAGAAGGTAATCAATAAAATAATTGTCGAGAATTGTTCTAAAGATCCACATGAATTTCTTCAGTGGTAATGAGTCCGAGAACATTGATTTGCTCCCACCAACTACCACATATTAACTGTCATCATAACTAGCACTTACTCGCTTTCTCTAACACGCACTTCGAATGTTTCGAGTAGTTGTCACTAAGATATGACTCGGCCCGCCATTCCTAGGGAACGCATGTCGCAAAGTGATATCATTGCTTCAGGTTTCTAGTTGATCTTAACTAACTCGTACCGCCAAGATTCTTCCGTTTCCCAAGATTTTGATGTAAAGCCTACTCCGCCCGCAATTCCTAAGGCACGCATGTTGCAGAGTGGCATCGCCATTTCAAATCTACAGCTAGTCTTGACCAAACTTCCTCAAACTGAGATTTCTAAAACACGTCACTTCCAAGTAACACCGACTATGCCCGTCATTCCCCAGGGAATGCACGTCGCAGGGTATCGTCTTATATTGAAAGTCGTTCAACAAATCAAACATGTCACCGATGAGGCACAATCCCGACACGAGTTCTTCTCCTTCAATAGGATGTGACAATTCATAGCATGATGAAGATTGCGCAACTGTGCCAAAAGACAGCAATTCCGAAAGTCGTGACACCCAAATGATGTCATGACTGACACACTACTATAGTAAGAGAAGATCCTAAGTATGCTCTGAACAAACTAGGCTCTGATACCAATCTAACACGCCCCAACCCTGATATTCCCCGAATACCAGGGTAGGTATGTGCCGGCTGACATCCCAGGGTGATGAAAACCATTTATTGAATGCAAATGCTGAGAACAAGAAATAAATAAGACTTATAAATTTAAAATATAATGAATATGCATTTCAGTAATGTGTTCAAAGAACACATCTAATCTAAAACACTAAAAGAATTTATATAAAAATTGAATGAATAAAATAATGAGTCCTACACCAAGAGAACTCAAATATGCCTCTGCGGAAGTGTCTTAAAGCCGGGATTGTATACCTCAATTCTAGTCCTGAAGGGGGCGCAAAACAAACATGAGTGAACCAAGTTGATATATATATATATATATATAATAAAAATAGTTATCAACGTACAAACCCCAAGGTTTTATGAAAACACATATATCATGATAAAAATAGGTTTTTCCGAAACCTAGCATGTCGTGCAATATCTCAAAACATATCTTGCATATATTGTAATCACTAGTGAATGTCCAATATCCATCTAGGCCCCATGTCAGCTTCCCGTTTCTGTGCCAATTACCAGAGGTTAATCACCTTCAGGCCCCCGTGCTAGCTTCCCGTCCCTAGGCTAATTGCCAGAGGAAAAACCCTTCCGGCCCTATGGCAACACCATAACCGTCACCCGGGACGGAATCTATCCCTCGCCCGTAGTGGAATAGGGACCACTAGGTAAGTACAAAACCATTGAACATACATTTATTTGAAAGGCAATTTCATAGTATAAAGTCATCCATCATCTATACTATAAAGAGGTGTTCTAAACATGTTCTAAATAATATATTGTCATCCATCAGATATTCTATAAAGAACACAGGTTATAGGAAAAATAGTAGTAATTCAATCTAGCCTCAGTAAGCATGTTATCTCGTAAAACGTTTCATAAAACGTAATCATTAAATCATGTTTTTCATATATGCATTTCTGCTATTAAAACAAGCATTTTTAGAAGGGGTCCACTCACAATACTTCGCCATCGAAAGCTGTGCAGACTAGTGAAGATAGAAATACCACAATAATTGCCCCTAAGCACATAAAGGATCCAATTAATAAAACTCTAATATAACAATTGAATTTGGGAAAACGAACGTCAAAAACTTATTCAAGACGTCGAATTACCCTAAGAAGGTCCCAGTCAAATGTATGAAAGTCAACAAAAGTCAACAGAGGAATATTCCAGAGAATATTCCATTGGGTCCGAAACTGGGTTGGGACTAGGGTTATGGATTTAAAGGGTTAAGGGTTTTGTTAATAGGTGGGTTGGGTTTGGGGAAAATGGCTTAAGGGGGTTTGGGTCAAAAGGTTTAAAGGGTTTGGGCTTGAAAGCCGGCCCAAAGGCTTTTGGGTTTTAAAACAGAAAACTAAATAAAAGAAATAATTGGGGGTTTTAAAACAGAAAACTAAATAAATAGAAATAATTGGGTTGGGCTTGGGTAATCCGGCCCAAGGCCTAGACTTAAAAGGATTTGGGTTTGGGGTAATTGGGCTAAGTCTCAGCCCAAATGGGTTTGAGTTTTAAAGCAAACGGGTTGGGTTGATCCGTTTTCAGGCTGAGCTTTTGACCAGTTTCTAGATTGATTTCCAAGGCTCATAACTTCTTTGTTACTCATCCAAATCAAGTGATCCAATACATGAAAGTTGTATTACTCGACGAGATGAAAAGATTGATACCCTGCACGCCGGCCAAATCGCCGTTTGGTCAGAAAACGCCTCGAAATGGGGGGTGCTAGTCGGAAAATTGGATTTTTTGCCAAAAGTTTGGGAAATTTTCAGAGCTTCGTAACTTCTCCACTACTTAACCAAACTGAGTGATTAAAAAGCCAAAATGTAGTTAGGAATGTGGAGAAGAGATTCATACCAAGTGGGGACCGAGCAGTGGGATCCTCTCCGGATCTCTTCCACCAAATTCACCGAGTCCGCTTATTCAGGACCTTAAAATTTGATCCAACGGCTAAAAACAGGGGCTTCTTTAGAAGTTATAATAACTTTAGCCCTTGGATCAAATTTCAAGAGCTCGAATTGGTGAATTTGATAGATGGGATTAGGAAAGGATCCCCTTCCTCCATATTGTTTTATATAAATAATTATTAGTTATTAGATCCCACCAATCTCTCCATAATGTTTTATGTAAATAATTAATTGCCTGTTATATGCTGTATAAAGTCAAGTCAACTATCTGAGTGAATATATTTTGTATCAGAACAAATCATCGAATATTTTGCAATAACACACTCTTATTTCTCTGCTCTATATCCCTTCTGCCACTTTCTAATTCTCTATATTTTCGACTTCGTAAAACAAGAAATGGAGAAGTTACATTCAGTCATAGTATGTTGTAGGGTCTGTTTATTTTGCATTCGTTATTCACAGTTGTTTAATTGTTGAATCAAATTTATCATGTAAGCTCACTGGGTATATATCACAATCCAAATAACAAACAGATCTACAATTTTTAGGTTTCTGAGGAACAAGGAAAAAGCAATTCAAAGGGGGGAGAGAGAGAGGGAGTTGTGCTATGTATCGTGGGTTTTTGTACTTCAACTGAGCTCTGCTCCCACGACATAGTCCCATTCACTCCCTCAATCATGAATCATGAGCAAATTCACTTTTTTGCACAATTAAAATCGATGTACTAGCTGTGAAGGTTGAAGATACCAATGCCTCTCCAAGAACTCCAATGTCATTAGAGTCTTCATCATCCAGTATCGTTGTGGTGACCTCTTGAGGACACGGTTGTTCGAAGGGGAGAGCATTGTTGTGAACCGTAAGGAGGGATCGCTCAGTAGAAGAAATAAATAAGTAGTAGTGAAATGGGACTGATTGGTAAGGGATTTTTGGTTCATTGTAAGGGTTTTTTGTTTTGGGGTTCAATTGTAATAACGTAAGTGTCTAGGAGAGTCCATTTGATTAGTTAGTTGTTTCCAGCTGGCACACATGTATGGTGGCCAAGGAAAATTGTATGGGCATTGTTGAATTAATCAATAGAATATTCTTCCTTCCCTCCCGACCCTTTTCCTTACGTTCCATCGCCATAGCTGTCATTGCAGGTCTGGGTCCTATCAACCTCACCCACTGCCGACGAAGCGGCGATGCTTTTCTTTTCCGCTTCTTTGACTTCCCGGAAAGAGAATTTTCAGTTTGTTCCTAGGGAAAATTGGGATGGAAATTTGGAATTTGATCTTTCATTAGGATTTGAGGTCAATTGTTTTGTGGTTTGCAAGAACTCAGGGGACTCTACGCCTGGTTTTAATTTACTTTTTATTATTTATTTTTTAAAATTATTAAAAGTTAACAGAGTTATGTTAGGTACCATTTGGTACGTGGGACGGGACGAAATGAAGTGGGACGAGATGTTCCGTCTCACGTTTGGTGCGCCTAAAACGGGTGGAACAAGTTGTCTCACAGGACGAATTTTGGATGAATTTTGGTTCAGTCTCCCCCTGGAACGACTCTGTGTGTGTTTCTAACAAAAGCATCGCCAACGAAAATACTTATGAACAGAAGTACTTCCTTATCCTGAATACAGAGTCGTAAACCTAGCTCGCATGGAGTCTCCCTCATACTCATTATAATATTAATAACTTATGAGTCAGTCAATGGTGTTACTTGGAAACAAGAAGTTAGCAACAAGATAAGCAACACCACGTGCTTCTTGGCTATTTTTGTTCTGCTAGGATAGAAGTATAACAATTTTTTATGCCTTTAAGTAAGAGTAATACTAAGAAGATCAAATTTATAGATAAATTTTTGAAAATTAAAAGATATGGAAGTTAATGATTGGTTTATTACTTACACGTTTATAAACGTGTTTATTCTTATTGATGACACATCATTTAGTTTGTAAATTTAGTTTCCCTAGCATTACTCTTTAAGTAATATGCCAATTTCTAATAATCCAAAGTCTTTTTTTTATTCACACTGTAGTTTCTGCATATGTTAATCAACAATACAAATATGTTAAGACTTGTTGGCAACTTGACTTCCGAGAATTTTTTTTTTTTTTTTTTTTTTTTTAAGGTTTATGACAATGTTTTAATCCTATCAAGAAAACATTTAATTTCTGTGGTGCTATCCGCATATTTTTTATTTTTTATTTCTCACATACTCTTTGTTATTTTAAATTTTTTATTTTATTCAATCCGACATCTGAAAATTGAGAATGTATGGAAAGTAAAAAAATGTATGTGGATAGCACTTCTCCTAATTTTTTGTAATTTTAATTCTCATCACATGTACTCTGCTAGAAAAAATGTAATCTGCATTGTAATTAATCAATCTTTAAATCACAAAGAGTTGTATTAATGTAATTTTATGGCACTACATTTCAATTTCTTGTAGTGGTTACTATGTTGGAACATTGTCACTAGAAGGACTCACCATCGAACAATGCTGTACGTTTCGTGGGAGCGTATCGAAATTAGACGTCCGAACGGGCAAAATCCTGTGGCAGACCTTCATGTTGCCTGACAATTTCGGCAAGTTTAATGAGTATGCAGGAGCAGCAATATGGGGAAGCAGCCCTTCCATTGATGTCCCTCGGAACCTTGTCTTCGTTGCCACATCGAACCTGTACTCAGCTCCTCCGCGGATAATTGAATGCCAGGAGAAGGAAAACAATCAGATAGTACCTTCTCATCCAGAGGCCTGCATTGAGCCCGAAAACCACTCCGAATCCATGGTAGCTCTTGATTTGGACACTGGGAAAATCAAATGGTATAAGCAGCTAGGAGGCTATGATATATGGTTTGGAGCCTGCCATAGACATTTGGATCCACGGTGCCCACCTGGTCACTAAGATATGACTATGCCCGCCATTCCTAGGGAACGCATGTCGCAGAGTGATATCACTGTTTCAAGTTTCTAGTTGATCTTAACCAACTCGTACCGCCAAGATTCTTCCGTTTCCCAAGATTTTGTTGTAGAGCCTACTCCGCCCGCAATTCCTAGGAAACGCGTGTTGCAGAGTGGCATCGCCATTTCAGATCTACAGATAGTCTTGACCAAACTTCCTCACACTAAGATTTCTAAAACACGTCTCTTCCAAGTAACACCGACTATGCCCGCCATTCCCCAGGGAATGCACGTCGTAGGGTATCGTCTTATATTGAAAGTCGTTCAACAAATCAAACATGTCACTGATGAGGCACAATCCGGACACGAGTTCGTCTCCTTCAATAGGATGTGACAATTCATAGCATGATGAAGATTGCACAACCGTGCCAAAAGACAACAATTCCGAAAGTTGTGACACCCAAATGATGTCATGACTGACACACTACTATAGTAAGAGAAGATCCTAAGTATGCTCTAAACAAACCAAGCTCTGATACCAATCTAACATGCCCCGATCCTGATATTTCCCGAATACCAGTGTAGGTACATGCCAGCCGACATCCCAGGGTGATGAAAGTCATTTATTGAATGCAAATGCTGAGAACAAGAAATAAATAAGACTTATAAATTTAAAATATAATGAATATGCATTTCAATAACGTGTTCAAAGACACATCTAATCTAAAATACTAAAAGAATTTATATAAAAATTGAATGAATAAAATAATAAGTCCTACACCAAGAGGACTCAAATATGCCTCTGCGGAAGTGTCTTGAAGCCGGGATTGTATACCTCAATTCTAGTCCTGAAGGGGGTGCAAAACAAACATGAGTAAACCAAGTTGATATATATATATATATATAATAAAAACAGTTATCAACATACAAATCCCAAGGTTTTATGAAAACACATATATCATGATAAAAATAGGTTTTTCCGAAACCTAGCATGTCGTGCAATATCTCAAAACATATCTCGCACATATTGTACTCCAATTGGGCTCAAAACATATCTCAAAACCTAGTATGTCGTGCAATATCTCAAAACATATCTAGCATGTTGTGCAATATCTCAAAGCAATTCAAAGGGGGGAGAGAGAGGGAGAGTTGTGCTATGTATCGTGGGTTTTGGTACTCCAACTGGGCTCTGCTCCCACGACATAGTCCCATTCGTTCCCTCAATCATGAATCATGAGCAAATTCACTTTTTTGCACAATTAAAATCGATGTACTAGCTGTGAAGGTTGAAGATACCAATGCCTCTCCAAGAACTCCAATCTCATTAGAGTCTTCATCATCCAGTAACGTTGTGGTGACCTCTTGAGGACACGGTTGTTCGAAGGGGAGAGCATTGTTGTGAACTGTAAGGAGGGATCGCTCAGTAGAAGAAATAAATAAGTAGTAGTGAAATGGGACTGATTGGTAAGGGATTTTTGGTTCATTGTAAGGGTTTTTTGTTTTGGGGTTCAATTGTAATAACGTGTCTAGGAGAGTCCATTTGATTAGTTAGTTGTTTCCAGCTGGCACACATGTATGGTGGCCAAAGAAAATTGTATGGGCATTGTTGAATTAATCAATAGAATATTCTTCCTTCTCTCTCCCGACCCTTTTCCTTACGTTCCATCGCCATAGCTGTCATTGCCGGTTGAGACCATTGCAGGTCTGGGTCCTATCAACCTCACCCACCGCCGACGAAGCGGCGATGCTTTTCTTTTCCGCTTCTTTGACTTCCCGGAAAGAGAATTTTCAGTTTGTTCCTAGGGAAAATTGGGATGCAAATTTGGAATTTGATCTTTCATTAGGATTTGAGGTCAATTGTTTTGTGGTTTGCAAGAACTGATAGTAATTTCACGTCTAAAGGCTTTACGTCAGTACCTAGCTCATTTATCCATTCAAGTAAGCAGTAATAGACCTCAATGAACACTAATAGACCAAAACATCTCCACCCCTAACAAAAAATAGCCTAATCAATTTTATTAAAATATTATTAATTTTTATTATAAAATAATAATTTAGTTTTTAAATTTTTGACTTCTTTTCTCTGACACCTATCCCGTCTTCTTCTTCTTCTTGTTATTCTTCCCACTTTTCCCTGTTTTTTCTTCTCTCTATACACCATCTTCTTCTTCTTCTTGTTCTTCCTTTTTTTTTTCCTCTCTGTACACCACGTCGTCAAATCTAACCTATTCTGAACATGGACACTCACCATACTGGACCTGCCCACATCGTAAACCCCCAAAAATCAACACCTACATATTCAAAAATTCATCGAAAATATACAAAACAGAAAAAAAATTCCAGTTGCAGGAAGATCCGAGTTAATCAACCGATCGACGACGATCCGAGTTGCAGGAAGATCATGATTTAGAAGGGGGACATGGTGTTGAATATATGGATTTATCAAGGGAAGGGGGTTGATAGGGTTCCAGGGATTGGGATGTGTTCCAGGGATTAGGATAGGTTCCAAGGATCGGGATGGGGTTCCAGGAGTCGGATGGGGTTTTAGATGAGAGAGACTGTAGCCATGACATTAGCCAGGCGTCAGATGAGCCGTCTCCTTCCTTTGTCGATTTTAGGCTGACTTGTGGACTGGCTTGGGCTAGGTGTCAGTCTATTCCACGGGCTGGAGTTGATTGGCTGAGTCTCAGCTTGTTTTTTCCACCGGGTGCCGGCCTCTTTTGCTTCCGGTGGAAGTGCTCTGAGGGGACTCTACGCCTGGTTTTAATTTACTTTTTATTATTTATTTTTTTAAATTATTAAAAGTTAACAGAGTTATGTTAGGTACCATTTGGTATGTGGGACGAGACGAAATGAAGTGGGACGAGGTGTTCCGTCCTACGTTTGGTGCGCCTAAAAAGGGTGGAACGCGTTGTCCCGCTAGACGAATTTTGGGTGAATTTTGGTTCCGCCTCCCCCTTGGAACGACTCGTTCCACATCCGTGGAACACAAAATTATAACCATTTAAGACAAAAATACCCCTTATCTTTTTCAATATTTACACCATCCAAAAAACAAACCCTAAAATTCTATCTTCTTCGTTCCATCTTCTCTGCTTGCTGCTACCTTTTCCCGTAGCCTTCCTCCTCATCTTCTCCCGTAGCAGTTGCATCTCCAGGTTTGATCTTGATCTTCTTCGGTAGCTGCTGCATCACCAGGTTCGATCTCGATCTTCTCCCATAGCCGCTGCATCTCTAGGTTCGTTTTCTTGATTATTTCATGGAAAATTTCAATTTTCTGGGAAAATAGGATAACTATGAGAAAATAAGTTAGTTTTCTTGGTTTCTCTAGTTTAACTTTGTTTGGGAAAACAAACAAAGTCTGATTTTTAAGGTTTATTACGATTCTGGTTTGTAAAGATTAGATATGGTTCCAATATGTGCAATTTAGTGGGTTTGGTTGTGAGCTTGGCTTTATATGATGGAAAAAGCTGGTTCTTTCTGCATTTGGTGAACTGAAATGTTAATCAATTTGAAGCATTTTAATGGTTATTTTACTGATTATTGGTCAGTGTGTATAATTAAGCCTATTGTTTACAATTGGAGGAGGGTTAGTAACGCTCATCGTATATTTCCGTATGCTTGTTTTCAGACGTAGGGGATCTTTTCACATGTGTAGATGACTCGTTTGGTCAACTCGGGCATGGTGATTCCAGTCACAGCGCCGTCCTGTCAAAGTCTCCTTGTTGGTTGATAAGCATGTGGAGATAATAACATGCGGAATGCGCCATTGACTTGTTTTGCTGAAAGGTAGATTGTAAGGTTGATCTTGTATGTTTCTGGCAAACACAATTTTTTAAATGTAGTGAGGCTGATTTATGCGGATGTATATGTTTCGTTACATGCTTAAAGCTTTGGGTTTTTGTACTACAAGAAGTCATTCCCTTTAATCGATATAACCCATTTGTCGTAGTGTATGATGTTTTCTGCAATCAATATGCTGCATGTGTTTCAGGAGATGAAGTTTATGGATTTGGTTCTGGAAAACGTGATCAACTAGGTGTCTCTAAAGGTAAGATCAAATTAATTAGTCTTTCCTAAGCGAACTTACGGATTTGAAGGCTTGAAATTGCAAGCATCGTTGGAAATGGAGATCATAGTGCAGCATTGCACCAAACAACAAACGGAATAGGGGTAGGTTAGTCATTTAATCTTTTGGTTCTATTCCGTCCAGCACATACCAAACACAAAACGAAACAACCGTCCTGTTCCATCCTACGGGTGCGAAATATAACACGGAACCTCAGTTCTGTCCCGTCCTGTTCCGTCTCGTCTCGTCCTGTCCCGTCTGCGTACCAAACGGTACCTTATAGTCAAGTGGTAGTAGACGAGTCAAACAAATAAAGAATGAGACATGAATGGGACACCACTTTCAGGACAGCAGCCCCATAGCCCAGCGAGTGCAATGTACACCACAAAAAAATAAAAAACACAAAAAAAAAAAGTACTTTATTGACTAATACTTGATTAAGTAAGGTTCCCACTCTCAATCAGAATTGGCCTTTAACTCTTTTCTTTTTCTTTTTATTGGGTGCCACACAAACAACTCGAACTAGCACGTGAACCTCCCACAACAACCACAACCACGCTCCTCGTCGTCTGTTCTTGCAGAGGAGACTCGCTGAAATGGAAGCTTCCGTTGCTGCAAAATCGTTCATAAGAGTTGCTGCCATTTCTGGGTCTCTTCGTAAAGCTTCCTACAACCGCGGTCTCATTCGTTCTGGTCAGTTTCTCTTTCTCTCTCTGTGTATTTGCTAGCTTGGAGCTTGGATTAATTAGAAAAAATTGACACAGCTTTGGTTTTTTAGCGATCGAGATAAGTGAGGCAACGGTGGAGGGCGTGCAAATAGAGTACGTAGACATCTCGACGCTGCCACTGCTGAACACGGATCTGGAGGGAGACGGCACTTTTCCACCTGCCGTGGAAGCCTTTCGCCAGAAGATTCTGGAAGCTGATAGCATCCTCTTTGCTTCTCCTGAGTACAATTACTCCATCGCCGGTATATAATTCATTTTCTTTTGCTTTCCTTTTTCCTTTCATGTGTACAATTACTCCATAGCCGGTGTAATTCAAATCTTTTTTCTTTTTGCCCTTATCGATGGATTAGCACGAGGATGCTATTTGTAGTCATAATTATTTAAGAAAACTAATAAAAAAAAACTTGAAAATTTTAAGTTTTAAAGATAAGAATAAAATAAAGAAAGAAATGAATATTATCATGTTTGACTTTTTAGTGTAAAAATATGATTTTTCGTTAAAATAAATAGTACCACGAACATTTTGTTAAAATTTCCTTATTATTTTGTCGCACGCATATAGATGGCTAAAGTGTTGAAGTTGAATGAACTATTTTAGAGACGATGATAATAAACGGTTCTTTTTTTTTCCTTTTTTTTTTTTGGGTCAAAAAGAGTTCTAATTATGATAGCTGTATGTCACGTTAATGAGAATAAGGGGAGAAATTTTTTTGTGTGCCAAAAACACAATGAAGTATACTAAGTGTTATGATATGTTGTTTGGAAAACTTTTTTTCAAGTTTTCAATTAATTATATTATTAATATTTTGTACTAAATCGTGTGCCCGACATACTTAAAAATCTGTCGAATAAGGGAAGTATCATCCATTTGTAAATATAGTAATATACAAGATTGTAAAAGTTGCTAACACGCTGATGCTGCTCCACTGTTTCAACTTTGCGTGTAGCATATCTTTGCTTCGGATTAGTCACTTTCTTGTTTTTTTTTTTCTTTTTTTTTTTTTTTGACAAGATTAGTCAGTTTCTTGTTATTCTAATTGATTTTGTCTTATCATGTATCATCCATTTGTAAATATAGTAATATACAAGATTTTAAAAATTGCTAACAGATACTGATGCTGCTCCGCTGTTTCAACTATGTGTGTAGCATAAATCTATGCTTTGGATTAGTCACTTTCTTGTTTTTTTTTTTTGTCAAGATTAGTCACTTTCTTGTTTTTTTTGCCAAGATTATTCACTTTCTTGTTAGTCTAATTGATTTTATCTATCAATTAAAAAGAGGAAATTGGTTTAACCTATTTGTCATGTCGTTTAAAATGGAAATGCTGCTGATCTATGTTAGATAGGGATGTGCAAAAGAGAAAATGATTATCAGTAGGTCTTTGTTTTTTCCTTCTTTTGATCAAAGGAGGAGGGGATTCGTACGTATGACCTCATGGTTTATAAGCTAGTTTCCTCAACATCCTAACCTTTTTCTGCATTATCACCGTACCAGCACCTCTAAAGAATGCAATTGACTGGGCATCTAGACCGCCGAATGTTTGGGCTGACAAGGCTGCTGCAATTGTAAGTGCTGGAGGAGGCTTTGGCGGTGGACGATCCCAATATCATCTTCGCCAAGTTGGAGTGTTTCTTGACCTTCATTTCATTAACAAGCCCGAGTTTTTCTTGAATGCATTCCAGCCTCCTGCAAAGTTTGACGATGATGGAAACTTGATTGATGAACAGTCCAAGCAGAGGTTGAAGGAAGTTCTTTTAGCTTTGCAGTCAATGACTTTGAGACTTCAAAGAAAGTGAACAGAGGCGCTGTTTCCTGTTTCGAACTGCTAACTTCTAAGTCATTGCAGGTTCGAAACCAGAAACAGTCTCTTCATAAGCATGGTTAAGGCTGTGTACATCTGATTCTCTTTAAACTTGGCAATAGCAACGGCAATGGCTGTGTCGTTGCATATATTTCAGGGAGGATGCTGAAACTGTTTGTGATTCTCAGAATAAAGGAATTGTGTATTTCAGGCTCTGCTGGCATTGCTAGAGTTTGATGCTTTATGGTTTATGGCTATGTGATGTGGTTTATTTCTTTCTGCCTTGGGAGTGCCTTTGGTGTTGGAACTTAGACCTTGGTGATTTGTTTGTATTTTCTCACAATATCTAATGTGCTAATAAAATGTCATTCCTCCAAAATTTGGTATCTCATTTCCTCTTTTAAGTGGAACCCATATAATATTTTCACCCCCCTCGAATTAGTAAACAAGGGAATAACATGGAATGGGAATGGCTCTCATTCCTTGCATTCCTTTTCCCTATTTGTAAACGCACTATAAATGTCTCTGTTCTTTTTTTAATGTGTACATTTTATAAATTGACATGCTTTATTATTAAAAAAGTATGTTGTATGCATACAATTTGTTGTTGAAGTCTGAGAGACGGGTCGTGATTAACTACCGATCGTTTCAATACTGTGTTCACTTAACAACACGTGCAAAAAATGGATGTGAGGCTTTCTGTACAAGTTTTAATTTGTTTTGTAAGATAACCGATGTGGTTGACGTTATTACTTCATGGAAATTCTACCGTATGTTGCTGTTGAGGGTATATAGTTGGTCTTTTTTTTTTTTTGGTCTAATATAGCTATATATAATATAAAGAATTTAACAAGTTGCTGTAGCTTTGGAAAGTGCAACACAAACGATATTTATGCTGCAAATATTTAATTGAAATAAGGATAATACTTGCATTGTTTCATATGAAAATGCACACATCGCGTCCGATGCTAATAACGTGTCTTCTCAATTTAAATTTTAGGGAGATTATACTTCCGTAAAGACTCCATTGGCATATGACTTGGAATTATAATCACAAACATGTGTGGTGACAACGAAAATATATCCTACATTAACTAATAAAAGGAATATAGTCGTTGGGATATGAAGAAAAGTAATTTTATATTCTTTATAAGTGTAATTTTATATTTTTTTCGAAATGTCAATAGTAATTTTCTTAATGAATATAAACACGTTATAATATAAATGAATTAATAATACTGTATGACGATGTTATTGCCATACTAACTTTTTTATTTTGCCAAAAGGGTACGGTGTTAATTAATTATACACAATCTAGCATGAATTTCGTTACAGTTTTTCTTGAGGAAGAAAAATCTTCAAAAGGTCCAATAACTACAGAGGATCGAACTTCGATATGCTTAAAATCTAAAGCTCTGAAAGTAGAAAGTTTCCAATATACTTAGGACATGACTCGATATACCAAGTAGCATAATACAAATGATTATAAATAATACGTGAGTTATAATACTTGGTGTACAAAATCAACGAAAAATCTTACCTCTGAAAGGCCTAGACAAGCTATGAAATACATTGAGTGGAAGCTAATAGACCATCAAAAGCAGATAATGCTGCATCTTCACTTCTGACATATCTTAGCGTTTGACAACTTTGATCCTTTGTACCTTTGATTCTACTCAACCTTCCTCTCCTTTACAAAGTCATTGATTTGAGAGAGAGAGAGAGAGAGAGTATCGAGGTACAATTTCGCCTAATTAAGTAAATACACTTTTATGGTACGAGTATGCAATTGTGATAGCGTTTTATATCAATAATACAAAGATATATATTAGTTATCTTCACTCTTCTCCACATTATTCGCGCACTTAACACTAGCATCAAGTTCCTATCCTAACTAACGCCTGATACTCTGAGGAAGTGTATTTTTTTTGTATGTTATAAATGTCGAAATGAGTAGGTGGAAATTATGGCCGGCTTTCAAAAGTAAAAGACTGGTAATTGTAATGGTGAAGAGAAGGGATTTTCAGAGAAGTAAATGAGTTTCCGTATTCGGTGAAGCTCGTCAGCCTCACCTTTTCGTGTAACTTTGCTTTCAGATTCGCATTAACCATAGGATAATACTATGGAAATTGTTATTAGCACTTCAAAAATCTCAATTTACACTCCTTACAAGTGTATTTTCCTTTCTAAATATAGAAAGTTTGGAGGGCCAATAACAATTCCCTAATACTATTCATACCATGTTTTTATACCACATTTTCATATCATCTTAGGTGATATTTGATGTAGACAGCTACATAATTTGAAAAATTTGCAAAATCCAAGGAAATGAATGAGAAAGACTCCTCGTATACCACAATCATCATTTAATTAACTAGTTTTTCTTAATTATTAGTTTATTAAATAATGAACTAAATTTAAAAATTTGATTAATTCAAATGATGTGGTTGTCCACATCAAATGCCACCTAAGGTGGTATAAAAATGTGGTACAAAAATATGGTATGAATAGCATTACTCTTAACGATATAGTCTCCAAATTCCTTGTCTGCTCCCTAGCAAGCAAACCCTTCATGTCACTCTGTCGTTTGTTATAATGTACAATTGATGGAGGATGAAACTAATGTTATTTTAGTTGCGGGAAAATTGAAAGAAAGAAGCGTAATTTAATTAAAAAAAAGTGATTGAAGAATTGGTAATTCACGAGTTAAAAAATTATTTGTTGTTGCCCTATCTTAAAAGTGGATGTTTTAACTTTTCAAGTTGTTCGGATTATGCTACTCTCGTTTGGCGTCTCAATTTTGGGTTCGTAATATATGAATTCATAGAAAACCAACGAATTTTGGGTTCGTAATATATGAATTCATAGAAAACCAACGAGTTATGTCGTATAAAAGTATCTCCAAAAGAGATATCAATGCTTACATGGCAGTTATAACATTAAAAAAAACAATAGAATTAAGTCCAACCAAATTGTTTTAAATTTGTGTGGTTTGACATATTTCCTCTTGCTGTCAACGAATCTTGCATGTGGCACTATGATTTTTCGGAGTCGAAGTAAGACGAATCAGAATGTAGTACCTCAAAAGTCTAACCGTGGACTCAACAGCTTCCACAATGGAGCTGCACAGACGGATCAGTGATGCAACCATCATCTTGTTCCGGAGCAGTGGGTGAAGTCCAACAACTTCACTGAGATTGACCATGCTTGTTCCGCATGATACAAAGTTTGATCTAGAAAGGAATTAGCTAGTCTTTCTATATTATTGGAATCCTTACAATCCAAGGATTAGCGTGCGTTGTAAGTAATCCAACTTCTAAGAGGATGCAAATATCTACTCCTAGATATTCTTTGGGATTCTCCAAGTTTAATACGGATTCCATATATATCCTAAAAGATCTTTATCTCAATTTGTATAAATACATCCTTATAGGGTTCATCTCTGGTACACTTATTCCCTTTCCTATTGCTTGAGTCTCAAACATTTACTCACTAACTTAATCGTCAAAGCTTTTTGCAAGCATCCCCTCTCCCTCCCCCCTGCCCCCTAATCCTTGGCTACTTACTATTGTTTGTTCTTTTATAGGTTAAGATTTTGTGCATCTCCATCCTTCACGATAGTGCATGAATTTGGTTCCAACAATTAGTGCTTTCATTGAGAATGAACTCATATTCCCTTGACCAAATCACTCTACCACAACAATTAGTGCAGTAATTGGTTCCAACAATTAGTGCAGTAATTGGTTCCAACAATTACTGCTTGAGTCTCATATATGTGCTTTCTAACTTGACCGTTGAAGAGCCTTTGGCCGGCGCCCCTTTCCTCCAGTACTTCGCTGCTTACAGTTGTTTATTATTTTACAGGTAAACGAGTTTGTGCATCTCCACCTTTCACGGTGTGTGCAGATTTGGTTTCAACATCATTGATTTGATTAAATAAATAAGGGTAAATTTTTTATAAAATCAATAAAATGTTACTATATTAGCAATATATCAATCGTTTATTATAATTATAAATAGGTCAATGAGACTTTAATGTACGCTATACCACCTCAATCAAATAAAATTTACTAATTCATGCCACTACAGTTAGCAACGTGCAAATCTTTTATTTCGAATCAAGTCAATCACACACCTCCAACACTTCATAAATGGCTCCTACACTCAATATATTTTTTAGTCATATCCAAAAGAAATGGACCACTGATATATGGCTAATTTGTACCTTTGGCAAAATAATCTTTAAATAAAAACGGTTAATTAATACGAGGCATCGATTGCAATGTACACCAGGAAAAAAAAAAAAAAAAAAGTAATTTATTGACTTGTACTTGATTAAATAAGGTTCCCAATTCAATCAGAATTGTCCTTTAGCTCTTTTCTTTTTCTTTTTATTGGGCTCCACACAAACAACTCGAATTAGCACTTGAATCTCCCACAACAACCACAACCACAACCACACTCGTCGTCGTCTGTTCTTGCGGAGGAGACTCGCTGAAATGGAAGCTTCCGTTGCTGCAAGATCGCTCATAAGAGTTGCTGCCATTTCTGGGTCTCTTCGTAAAGCTTCCTACAACCGCGGTCTCATTCGTTCTGGTCAGTTTCTCTTTCTCTCTCTGTGAATCTGCTAGCTTGGAGCTTGGATTAATTAAAAGAAATTGACAGTTTTGGTTTTGTAGCGATCGAGATAAGTAAGGCGACGGTGGAGGGCGTGCAAATAGATTACGTAGACATCTCGCCGCTGCCACTGCTGAACACGGATCTGGAGAGAGACGGCACTTTTCCACCTGCCGTGGAAGCCTTTCGTCAGAAGATTCTGGAAGCTGATAGCATCCTCTTTGCTTCTCCTGAGTATAATTACTCCATCGCCGGTATATAATTCATTTTCTTTTGCTTTCCTTTTTCCTTTCATGTGCACAATTACTCCATAGCCGATATAATTCAAATCTTCTTTCTTTTTGCCCTTATCGATGGATTAACACGAGGATGCTGTTTGTAGTCATAATTATTTTGTCCCACGCATATAGATGGCTAAAGTGTTTTAAGTTGAATGAACTATTTTAGAGACGATGATAATAAACGGTTCTTTTTTTATTTTTTATTTATTTTTTGGGTCAAAAAGAGTTCTAATTATGATAACTGTATGTCACGTTAAAGGGAAGGAGGACCTTTCTTCTTAATGAGAGAATAAGGGGGGAAATTTTTCTGTGCGTCAAAAACATAACACATTATACTAAGTGTTATAATATATTAGTTGGAAAACTTGTTTTTAAGTTTCCAACTAATTATATTATTAACATTTTGTACCAGTGTGCCCGGCGCACTTAAAAATCTCTCGAAAAAGGGAATTATCATCCATTTGTAAATATAGTAATATACAAGATTGTAAAAATTGCTAACAGACACTGGTGCTGCTCCACTGTTTCAACTATGCGTGTGGTATATATATTTGCTTCGGATTAGTCACTTTCTTGATTTTTTTGTCAAGATTATTCACTTGTTATTCTAATTGATTTTGTCTTATCAAGTATCATCCATTTGTAAATATAGTAATAGACAAGATTGTAAAAATTGCTAACAGATACTGATGCTGCTCCACTGTTTTAACCATGTGTGTAGCATAAATCTTCGCTTTGGATTAGTCACTTTCTTGTTTTTTTTTTTTTTGTCAAGATCATTCACTTTCTTGTTAGTCTAATTGATTTTATCTATCAATTGAAAAGAGGAAATTGGTTTAACCTATTTGTCATGTCGTTTAAAATGGAAATGCTGCTGATCTGTTAGATAGGGATGTGCAAAAGTGAAAATGATTATCAGTAGGTCTTTATTTTTTTCCTTCTTTTGATCAAAGGAGGAGGGGATTCGTACGTATGACCTCATGGTTTATACGCTAGTTTCCTCAACATCCTAACCTTTTATTGCATTACCACTGTACCAGCACCTCTAAAAAATGCAATTGACTGGGCATCTAGACCGCCGAATGTTTGGGCTGACAAGGCTGCTGCAATTGTAAGTGCTGGAGGAGGCTTTGGTGGTGGACGATCCCAATATCATCTTCGCCAAGTTGGAGTGTTTCTTGACCTTCATTTCATTAACAAGCCCGAGTTTTTCTTGAATGCATTCCAGCCTCCTGCAAAGTTTGACGGTGATGGAAACTTGATTGATGAACAGTCCAAGCAGAGGTTGAAGGAAGTTCTTTTAGCTTTGCAGTCAATGACTTTGAGACTTCAAAGAAAGTGAAGAGAGGCACTGTTTCCTGTTTCGAACTGCTAACTTCTAGGTCATTGCAGGTTCGAAACCAGAAACAGTCTCTTCATAAGCATGGTTAAGGCTGTGTACATCTGATTCTGTTTAAGCTTGGCAATATCAACGGCAATGGCGGTGTCGTTGCATATATTTCAGGGAAGATGCTGAAACTGTATGTGATTCTCAGAATAAAGGAATTGTGTATTTCAGGCTCTGCTGGCATTGCTAGAGTTTGATGCTTTATAGTTTATGGCTATGTGATGTGGTTTATTTCTTTCTGCCTTGGGAGTGCCTTTGGTGTTGGAACTTAGACCTTGGTGATTTGTTTGTATTTTCTCACAATATATAATGTGCTAATAAAATGTCATTCCTCCAAAATTTGGTATCTCATTTCCCCTTTCAAGTGGAACCCATATATTTTCATCCCCCTCGAATTAGTAAACGAGGAATAACATGGAATGGGAATGGCTCTCGTTCCTTGCATTCCTTTTCCCTATTTGTAAACACACTATAAACGTCTCTTGTATTTTTAATGTCTACATTTGGAAAATTGACATGCTTTATTATTAAAAAAGTATGTTGTATGCATACAATTTTTTGTTAAGTTTGAGAGACGAACCATGATTAACCACTAATCGCTTCAATACTATGTTCATTTAACACGTGCAAACAATGAGTATGAGGTTTTTTGTACAAGTTTTAATTTGTTTTGTAAGATAATCGATGTAGTTTTATTACTTCATGGAAATTCTACTGTATGTTGTTGTTGAGGGTATGTAGTTGGTTTTTTTTTTTTTTTCCTTGGATCTGATATAGCTATAAAATATAAAGAATTTAACAAGTTCCTGTAGCTTTGGATGGTGCAACAGAAACGATATTTAGGTTGAAAATATTTAATTGAAATAGAATAATTCTTGCATTGTTTCATATGAAAATGCACACATCTCGTCCTATGCCAAAACGTGTCTTTTCAGTATAAATTTTAGGAAGATTATAATTCCCGTAGAGACTCCATTGGCATAGGACTTGGAATTATAATCACAAACATGTGTGGTCATCAAGATTCTAAAAAACGTCAGGCGCTAGTCGAACGGCAGGCTGAGATTTAGCGCCTAAACGGTTAGGCAGGGCCTAGGCGGCCTTGGTTGGGCGCCTAGGTGGATTTATGTAATTTTATTATCTATCTTGTAAATAAGTACCCATTTACACCTAAAAAAAACTAGGCAGATTTATGTAATTTTATTATATATCTTGTAAATAAATGCCTATTTACACCTAAAAAAACCTATACTTGTATGGATAATAAAATAATAATAATATGCAAAAATAGAAGTAGAATAATACACAAAGTATATACATCCAAAAAGTTCAATATTTTTAAAAAATAAGCATATAATCATAATGAGGAGGATTCTTGAATAATAGACTAAATTCTTCTTGTTCATGATCCTTGCATTAGATTGGACATAGACTAAATTATTTAACCTTGTTGTATCTAGTTTATTTCTTTTCTTTGTATGTATCCCCTCAAAAGTGCTCCAATTCGTTTCACTATTGGATGAACTTGTAGTAAATCCATCATTTGCAAATTAGGTACACTATTTCCATAAGTATACCACCATGAAACCAAAAAAAGAAAAAAAGCACACAATTAATAAAAAATAAAAAAATAAAAACCGCCTAGGATCTCCTAGCTCCATACCGATTTTTCAAAACGATTTTGTGGAGCCTAAAATAATCCCAAAAATTCTAAAGGCGACACATGGACTTTTGCTCAAGATAAACAAGATTGCCCTCAATAAATGGGCAGGTTTCTCAGATGCTCCCACAAGCAGTTCTCACCCCTGAAGGTCCCAACAGTTGAATACGAATGCGCACAGCTCATCTGCCCTTTACAAGGAAAAGTCAAAGCATTAAAGACAAAAATTAATTACCCAAATCCTATCTTTAATACATTCCTACTTGAAGATTGACTTCAATCAAGTAAGTAATCCCAATTTAAATCAATTAGGGATAATTACTCCATTATCTCAAGATATTATTTCCTATTTAATATCTTGAGAATATTTCTCGAAATACCTTGGCCAATAGGATGCCGCCATGTGTAGGGCAAAATCCTAACACCATGGCCGACCATGTCCCTATAAATACCCCATATTCTACCAATTTTCAGAGGCTTTTGCTACCCTAAAAAAGCCCTCAACACTTTATTCTCCTTAAAGAAACAGACTTAGGCATCGAAGATCCATGAAGCTTAGGTCTTTGATCAAAGGTGTTGATTGTTTTGCAGGTGCATTTTCGGCAAGACTGAAGACGGTGAAAATTTGCATCAACAATTGGTGTTTTCATTGAGAGCTGATTCAAATACTTGAAGAAACCTCTTGCATTTGGTTTCTTGAATTTTCTGTTACGTTGAATTTTCTAATTCAAATTGGTGTTTTCCTAGAAAAATTTATTGATCAATACCGAGGGAAAGGATACAATGTTAGGAAATTCAGAAACCACGATGAACGGAACTCAGTACGTATAAGGATTTGGACCAGAGAATGGAGATGAGGACATAGCCCCACGACAGAGATCCTCAAGGCTCAATGCGACGGTAGGAAGAGCCACATCGCCGCAAAGCTGCATCACCATGACTGCTATGACCGAGCAGCCACGACAAGTCCACTAGACCATGGCCCAAGTTCACACGCCACTGCCTTTGCAGCGGCCCAAACGCAAAACCCTAGGCAGAAGGCCCAGGTCCAACTGGTGGTCCACATGCAAGAGGCTCAAAGCTTGGCAGCTGCCGCAACAGGCCCAGAGTAAGAGGCACAGCCCACTGCAATAGCCCTAGCTACCATCCAACGAGCCCAAACGTTACAGGCCCAAACCCATGCCTACGAAAACCCAGAAGAGCTAGCCCAGCCAGCAGGAGCAGCCTACGGGCAAACGACCCAAACTTTAGCTCACTGTTAGCTGAGCCCAGCCAGCTGCTAACCGAGCCCAAGCCCAAGCCCTCAAAGAGCTAGTGTTGGCCTAACGTGTAGCACAGGCTTAGGGCAAGCCCAGCGTACCCCTACACATGTGCCGACCACCCAGCCGGGTTGGTCTGCCCCACGACCCCTTCCGACTACTCGGCCCGCAACCCAATCCAACTCAAGGCCACTTCCGGTAATCCAGATTCCGACTACCGGTCCTACAATCGAATCAACGTTTTTTTCACAACACTTTTCTGCATGAATGCCTACTCTGGGCTCAAGCTTTGTACCTGGAATCTATTACACTTCCACCATACATGAAGACGCCAATTATCCAGACTTTTCCAATCCAAATGGCGAGCACCATCTGTCCCAGCAGGTCGCTAATTTGACGAGCGCCTTCGCGCAGCAGGCCATCTTGGTGAACCAACTTGTCAAGCATATTGAGATGCACCGCACCCCAGACGAAGTGTCCTGAAGTAAGGCAAGGGCGGAGAAACGTGACTCATTCCAGCGATGACCTGGCAAAGAACCGCTCAGCCTGCCACAAACTGTGAGTTCGAGTAGTGTGCACTCTCGTTTGGGCCTTCAGGGAAACGTCTTATCCCACCTAAATGCGTAGAGAAGCGTTCATTTCTGACTCGGCTCATGAGTTAATATGGATTCGAGGTTGGGTCCACACTCCGATGAGCACTCAGGACATTCCAAGAGAAGCGTCCACATGAGGCTAGGCCCACAATGAGACCTCTTGCGAGGCACCAAAGTAGGCAGCCACATGACGGACAGATGAGAGAATGAGAGCAGTCTAGCTCAAGTTCCATTGGCAGCCCTCGCTAAGCGCAATCACAATCGCGGCATAGGATGAACTACGTGTACCATGACAGCAGCACAGGCGAAGCAAAACATGTCGAAGAGCATTATAAACTAGCAAGTTGACACCCGGGGTCAGCTGAAGGCTCCGCTACCTTCACGAGGCTTAAATCTAAGATAAAGTACAAAGGCTTATAGCAGAGCAGGTGCGTAAATTCCAGCGCGTTGATACTATCGACGATGTCTTTCATAGAGATATGGCCAACGTGAGCAGATTATTATTCACAGACGAGATCGATCAAACAGAGCCACCACAGAAGTTCAGTTCGCCACATTTCACCTTGTTTAAAGGAGATAAAGATCCAAACATACATCTGATGCACTTCCGAAGTGCCATAACACTCTAAGCCAACAAAGACGCTCTCATATGCAAAATCTTTGCCATGACGCTCCAAGGCGAGGCACAAAACTAGTTCCACACCCTGCCACTACGCTCAATCTGAAACTTTAGCGAACTTTCCTTGGTTTTCACTAAGGAATATTCGTCCTACCACTCGATCAAGAAGAAGTCTGACCACTTCTTCAACATGAAGAAGGCCCTAAATGAGTCGCTTTGTACATATGTCAAAAGCTTCAAGGCAGAAAAGGTAAAAATCGTCGGATGCAATGATAGCATCACATTCTCAACACTCTGAAATGGGCTCTCAACAGATTACCCACTCTTTGAAGAATTGATCATGGGTGAGAACTTGACCCGGGCAGAATTGATCATGGGTGAGAACTTGACCCTGGCAAACTCTTATGCTTTGGTAGAAAAGCATTCCCTCTGGGATGAGGAAAACTGTTCCCAGAAGCTGCTTGAGTAGCCGTGCAAAGACGCAGAACCGACTTAGAAGAAGACGTGCAATAAACTGCTTAACAATAAAAACAAGCCAGGGAGCAGACGTAGGAACCAATCCTTGATGAAGGGAGTCACGATGCCCAAAATGTACACCAAGTTCTCAGTCCCAATCAACCAGATCCTTCACGACCTCAAGGACAAGTCGTCATCGCCTATAAAAAAGGACACCTCCAAGATGGACCAGACAAAGTACTGGGCATTCCACATAGGTCCCGGGCACACAACCAACGATTGCACTACATGGAAGAAGTACCTTGAACAGCTCATGAAGGAAGGCAAATGCGACCAGTATGTCGATAGACCAGCTGCTCGTCCAAGGCAAGAAACAGATGCCGATGCCAAACCCCCAGCCAATACGATCCGAACTAACTGAATCTTTGCCGAGTCTGAGCATCTGGGGGCCACCAACAGTTCTAAGAAAAGGAAAACCCAGCAAGTGAGATCGGTCTTCCAGGTTCAAACCATAAATGTTGTACTTGGACCAATTGTCAGTTTAACCAAGCAGGACACTGAAGAAGTAGATTTTCCCCACGATAACGCCCTGGTGATTTCTGTTCAACTGGCCCACGCCATCATTGACAGAGTTATGGTGGACAATGGCAGCGTAATCAATATCCTACAACTATTAATCGTCCAAAAAATGGGCCTGGAAAGCACAATAAAACGCAAAGAAGAGGTCTTGACCAGATTCAACAGGCTCACCT